AATGTGGGAAGAGAGTGCAATAACGTGAGAGTTTCTTAAAGAATGTAGTCTACTACCTTCAAGACTTCAGTTATGGTGGGCATTATTCAGTGTATTTTACTGAAGGAATGGAGATATCACTTACTCCAGTAAGTTGGTTAAATGGAAATTAGAAACTTCTACTGTATGTGTAGAAGTTATGTGTAGCTGGCAATTATATTATAGAAATAATTTCTACCCTTTGACCACTCATTTTATTATTGATTGATGGAGATAGGATCTTGCTCTGTTGCCCAGGCTAGAGTGCAGTGGCGGCATCATAGCTCACTGCAACCTCAAACTGGGCTCAAGCAATCCTGCCTCAGCCTCCCAAGTAGCTGGGACTACAGGTGCCAGCCACCACTGCCTGGCTTATTTTTATACTTTTTGTAGAGATGAGGTCCCACAGTGCCTGGCGTAATCATTTAATTTACTGGAGAATATAAGATGCTGTTTAGTAAATATAAAGTAAAAACTACTGTTTCAGAAGTTTTCTTTTTTTTTTTTTTGAGACAGTATCTCACTCTGTTGCCTGGGCTAGAGCATAGTGGTGTCATCATAGCTCATTCCAGCCTCAAACTCCTATGCCTCAGCAATCCTCCTGGCAAGTAGCTAGGGCTATAGGCTTACCACCAAGCTCAGCTAATTTTTTTTTTTTTGTAGAGACAACGTCTTGCTGTGTTGCTTAGGCTGGCTTAAATTCCTGGCCTCAAGCTGTCCTCCCACCTTGGTCTCCCAAAGTTTTGGGATTATAGGCATGAGCCACTAGTCCGGGTCATTAGTGAGTTCTTAAATTGTGTTGGTTGGTGGACCACCAACATGTTAGTGAGAGGACCAGCAGAGTAAATCAGGAATAGATTATTAGAGGAAATAGACACCTTGAATTGAAAAAAAGAAAAATAGTTTGGATAGAAGGAGACTGTCTATGTAATTGTGATGAGGCTACAGGAAGAATATCGAACTTTTGTTTAAATCTTATTTAGGAGAATCTGTAGTGGAATTTAAAGATTGGTAACTTCTCATTAGAAACATGACAGAATAGTTGTAAGAACAGCATAAAACACTGTATCCCGATAGTTCCCTGGACTGGATTCCAAAAAGAGATTAACAAATTGAAGGCCTGACACATATCATCAAACTGGAGAAATGAGGCAGAAAAGATGAAACTTGTGAGTGGCTATAACCGAGAATCTACTTGTCTAAAAATTGGGAAACAAAATTAATATAATAGTGGAAAATAAGTCACCAGAGATAAAAGGGGCAGTTGGTAATGAATAATTGTCTTTTAAAAAAACTTGCGAGCCTTTAAAAAAGCTTTTATAACTTTTGACTCATTTACTTCATTTCTGGGAATCCTAAATATTAACAATAAATATGGAAGAGATTTATGTACAAAATTTCATTCCAAAACATTGGAAATGAATAGATTTTTATCTTATAGGAAATCAAATATGTAAAGTACCTAGCCCAGTGTCAGGTACATAGTACTTATTTAATAAATGTTATTTATTTATTTTTTTTGAATATTCTAGCTGTATTTTTTTTCTTTTTTTTATTTTAGCATATTATGAGGATACAGATGTTTAGGTTACGTATGTTGCCCTTGCCCCCCCTTCCCCCCCAAGTCAGAGCTTCAAGTGTGTCCATCCTCCAGATGGTGCGCATCACACTCATTATGTATGCATATACCCATCTCCTCCCAATAAATGTTACTTACTAAGTTTGGTTTCTGAAGTAGAAAGAGGCAAAATTGACTGATACTAGGTTAGAGCACTAATTTTTTTTTTTTGAGATAGAGTCTCTGTTGCCCTGGGCAGAGTACAGTGGCATCACAGCTGCACTGCAACCTCAAACTCCTGGGCTCAAGTGATCCTTTTGCCTCAGCCTCCTGAGTAGCTGGGACTATAGGTGCGTGCCACCATGCCCGGCTAATTTTTCTGTTTTTAGTAGAGACAGGGTCTTGCTCTTGCTCAGGCTGGTCTCGAACTCCTGAGCTCAAGTGATTCTCCCGCCTCGGCCTCCCAGAGTGCTAGGATTACAGGTGTGAGCCACTGCGCCTGGCCAAGAGCACCAGTTTTATTTTTTAAATTTTGTTCAAATTTTTTTAGAGACAGAATCTCACCATGTCGCTTAGGCTGGCCTCAAACTCCTGGCCTCAAGAGATCCTCTAGCATTGGCCTCCCAAAGTGCTAGATTTATAGACATGAGCCACTGTGTCTGGCCTTGCTTTTTTCACTTTTTTGAACCTCTTTCCACAGCAGTATATAGTGCCATTTCATTCTTTTTAATGGGCGCATATTTATATCTTTATATAACAAGTCTCGCATGGATGGATATTGTGGGTGATTGTTAGTACAGACTGGTGGAGTGAATATTGGACTTGTTGTTTCTTCTGATATGTGCATTAATGTTGGATTCTAAGACTAGTGGTGCCTTCTTATTTCCTGAAGCCCATGCTTCAAAAGGACTGTCTATTAATGAAGGTTTCTTCCTGGCCCTACTATGAATGATGTTTATGGAGTGTCAAACTGAAATCACTGGTGAATATAATGGAAGTTGCTGAAAATACATGAGAATTGTACAGTATTCCCAAATAAGCTTCTTCTGGAATACAAAGTAAGTATTTTGCGTTGTATGAATTTTCCTTAATTTAGGGGAGGTGGGTAAGTGAGTAGTTTCAACTTACTTCTTTCAAGAGTATACTTGAATAAGGGAGCCAGAATACAGTGGACAGGGGAGTAATGGTGGAATTATATTAAGAGCATTCTAGTGGGGCACCATGGCTCACACCTATAATCCCAGTACTTCAGGAGGCCAAGGCAGGAGGACTGTATGAGGCCAGGAGTTGAAGACCAGGCTGGGCAACATAGAAAGACCCTGTCTCTACAAACAATGGAAAAAAAAAATTTGCCAGGCATGGTGGTGCACGCCTGTAGTCTCTTCTGCTCAGGAGGCTGAGGCAAGGAGGACTGCTTGAGCTCAGGTGTTTGAGGCTGCAGTGAGCTATGATCACGCCATTGCACGCCAGCCTGGGTAACAGAGTGAGACTGTCTCCAAAAAAAACCAAAAAAAAAACCCAAACAACAACAACAAACCCAACTGTATTTTAGAGATAATGCAGGATCCTCTAAACTTTCACTTCAATTGACAATGTGGTCTTTGCTGTGTTTGACAAGTAAGAATAACCCTTTGGGGAAAGAAGGGTCCGACTAAATAATAGGGAAGAAGCTTAATTTTAAATTAGACTGCTAGTCTGAAATGAGACTTGGGATTGTTGCTAGGAGGAGAGAATAATAACAAACATTTATAAAGAACAGTTTATGGCCAGGCATTGTGACTCATGCCTGTAATCCCAGCACTTTGGGAGGCTGAGGTGGGTGCTTGGCCAGGAATTCAAGACCAGTCTGGGCAACATAGCAAGACCCCATCTCTAAAAAAATAAAAAAAAAATTGCTGAGTGCAGTGGTGCTTTCTGTAGCCCCAGGTACCGAAAAGGCTGAGGCTGAGGCTAGAGGATCGCCTCAGCCCAGGAGTTCGAGGCTGCATTGAGCCATGACCATTCTACTGTACTCCAACCTGGGTGACAGAGGGAGACCCTGTCTCTAAAAAAAAAAAGAATGAAGAAATATATAAATTCAGGGGAGATTTTAGCTTAATAACTGTAGAAAAAGGTGTGACAGTCAGAAATATTCCAGTAATTGACCAGGTTTTAGGACACAGATCTCACACAAAATCCTTGGACTCTAAAGTTGGAAAAGGTGGGATGAGAGGGAACAGAATTCTACGTTTTTTCTTTTTAAAGTTTATATTATGGACCTAGGACAACCTAAGCTTGAATATTAGACAGCCAGTTGCCTACCTTGGATTTTTACCAGGATCATGTTTATTGTAAAACTGAGATAGAACAATTTTATGGTGTTAACCCCAAATTTTTCATTGACAATAAGAAACTTGATCTTGTTCTCTACCTACTTTTGGAATAGTGTATGCACTTCATAATAGCACTTTCTCAGAGGTATGAGATATCCTTCTTTGTTGTGATTCTTCCACAATTGTAAAGGAATTCTTTGTTCCTGATGCTTATGTGGAATACTGGGATTTATAAGATGACAAGGGAAGAGTAGAAATGTTTTTTGTATACCTACCCTGTCAGGCTCTTTACATTCAGTAACTCTTATAATCCTAGTTCCACCTTGTTGTTATCCCCATTTTACAGTTGAGAATAACTGAGGCTAGCACTTTAATTAGGGAGATAAAACATGCACCTAGGTAAATATAACATGAAACAAAATAAATGCTTACGATTGACCAAGTAAAGCAAAAACTAGCATTTGCAGGACCACAGGCACAGTTTACCACGTGCCTGCTTCTACAAACGAACTTCTCGGCGTGGCCACAGACTTGCATCCCTAGGAGTGAAACCTTGAGGGTGTGAATCCACCGAGGATGCCTGTGTACGAAAGGGAATACCAGCTGGATTTTCCCGGTGGAAAGCCTCCTCTGCGTGCCCTCGGTGCTCTTCATTTAAGGAAGTTGGCTGGGGGAGGGGGGTTGCCTTGCGGCTGCGTCCTGCTCCCTGCGCGCTCCCCCACCCCCAGCTCTGCTGCCGCTAAACCCCGGAGAGCGGAGCGTGCACGTTGAGATTCCTCGGCGGGCCTGGCAGCGGTGCTGGGCATGCTCAGTGGGCAGGACCCGTTAGAGTGGCGAGTAAGGAAGCGTTGGCTCTTCTCTGGGTCTGCCTTCCCCGGTTCAGGCCCCGGCCCTGGGCTTTTGTGTGCGCGGAGCTGCAGCTACCGCTGCCTCCTCGCGGGGCCGCCCAACCCCAGATGCCGTCTGGCCTGTCCGGTTTCCGCCGTTAACCTCGCCGCGCGGCCGGGAGGAGGAGCGGGGCGGGGCCGGCGGGCGGGCGGACGGGCAGGAGGGCCCTGCCGG